TTTGAGTTGAATTACTGAAATAAATGAACTTTTCCACAACATTCTAATTTATTGAGATGCACCTGTAGTTTGAAGAAGAATGACATACTTCTGCAGATGTTTGTGCTAATCACTTCATCTTCTCATTTGGTTTTATTTAACAATTCCTCCTCTTTGCTCATCGTCTTGATATAGATCTTATCATCCAGCCCCTTTCCTCCCCCCTCTGCTCTCGATATATGGTCATCCTCTTCTTGGAACCCCTCCTCCGTCCCGCTGCCGTCTCTAAAGTTATCATAGTGTATGCCTCCGACCTCTCTCTCTCTCAGCTCCAGCCTAAAGTGCACACCGGTGGTTGGTGGTATGGCTGCCAGCACTTGGCCCTGTCACTCATTTGCCCTAGACCCCCGCCCCCATCTCATTTTACCCCCGAGTTTGTCTGTCTGTCTGTCTCTGCACCATTAGTGAGGTCCGTGCTGCAGACACCACCTTGCCCACCACACGGCTCTTGGTTGTCTTGAAGTGCTAAATCAACGCAGAGGGAACATTTTTTTGTCACATTTTCAGAAATCTACAGAAGACACTGGCTTGCGAAGGGATCTTTGTGTTTATCTGTCACTGGGAACAAGCGCGCAATCTATTGGAATACTTTGGACCTCTTGACTTGTCACCTGTTCTACCTCGCCATAGCCTGGGTGCATCTGAGCGTCTGTGTGACTGTGTGTGAGTGAGTTTGTGAGTGTGTGTGGTTTAAGAGGATCTTGGTGGTGTCAACGTTGGGGTTTTGGTTTGACAGGTGCACGTGCGGGAGCGTTGCACTGTGATTCCTGTGTTTGGATTTACTGCTCTGATCAGACATGGCTACTCTGAGAAGCTTGCTGCTGGGGCTCTTGCTGGCCCTGCTTTGCTCCTTCCAGACACCGCTCGCGCCCTCAGCTTCTGTCAAAGCCCAGGATCTGCCATTCATCCGTGAGGAAGGCCTGATGGCTGATGATGATGATGATGATGATGATGATGATGATGACGACGATGATGATGACGATGACGATGACGATGATGACGACGACGATGATGATGACGACGATGATGATGATGATGATGATGACGACGACGACGACGATGATGATGACGATGATGATGACGACGATGATGATGACGACGATGATGACGACGACGATGATGACGATGATGATGACGATGATGATGATGATGACGATGATGATGACGATGACGATGATGATGATGATGATGACGACGACGACGATGATGATGATGACGACGACGACGACGACGATGATGATGATGATGATGACGATGATGATGATGACGACGATGATGATGATGACGATGATGATGACGACGACGATGATGACGACGACGACGATGATGATGATGATGATGATGATGATGATGATGACCACGAAGGTACGTAAAGTTGCTCTCGAAGTGCCGTTTAATCCCCCGTAATTTAGCAAATCATCTGCCCCCTCTCTTAGCCATCCATAAGTATTTTAACCAAATTGGGAAAGAGAGGGGAGGAGCAAGGGGCCCTTTTGGCCACTCCCACTTTCTTCACCTCAGCTCTGCCTTAAAGTGTTGCTCTTGGCCTGCCATAGTTGAGGTCCAATCAGTCGGTCGTGTTATCCAACCAAATCATTCAGAGCTTAGCACAAGCCCCACCTCCTCCCCTCTCCAGCTGTCCATCACCCTGGCTGTCTTTGACTCTCTCTGTCTTCTCTTCCCTGCCTAAATAGAGCTATGAGTTCTGTGGGCCTTCTGAAGCCGGACTGCTTCAAGTCTTGATGTGCAGTACAGTACAGTGCTTATGAACTGAGGACTTAAGAGAGAAAAGAGAAAAACAAACCCAGCGCTGCAGTCTGAGCCCCAGGCCTCACTCTGGCCCAATAGATCAGATCATTCTTTGATTTTTGTCTTGTTTCGAAAGAGCGGGTTCCACCCTTTCCTTCATCCCTATATTTGTCCTGTTTGAATTTGGAATCTTCTACATTTGTGTCACCATGCATGTGAAACTACAGAGAAAGAAAGAGAGACAGACAAATGTAGTGGGGGAATATACCATGGAGAGAGATCACCATGGAGTAGTAGGAACCGATAGAGATAGAGAGAGAGAGAGAGAGAGAGAGAGAGAGAGAGAGA